TCATCGGCTATTAAGATTTCTTTGTTATAGAAACATGTTGGACTATTTACACAACACGTTGCCCTCTGAGCGCCTTTTGTAAAACTAACTTGAGGCTTTTTTCGTTCGTTCTTGTCGGTCGGCGTATATCGCTCTCACGAGTTTGAATGAAATACTCAAGTCACTTACGATGTGACGTTAGAATTTGCTTTCAATATATGAATCGTTTCGATAACTCTATAATATGAGCTGAATGATGGCGATATAGATTGGTAAAGACATAACAAAGCGGGCATCTCCAGTTGACAATGACCTCTGATTGGTGCGTGAGAGTTTGTAATTGAATTGTGAGCCTAAACATCGATTCTGAGTCATCGGCCAAATATGTTGATTGGCCTTGGTATTTATACTATTTAATCACTGCATAATAAATATCTACTTGAGATGTGATGTCAAATAATATCTATAATTGATACGACATAATAACTAAAATAATATGGATTATTCAGCACAGAAACTTTGTACCAAATGCTTCTCAGTTTTTCATTCATTTTTATTTTAATTATAAATTTATTTGCTTATAATAAAAATAAACATTAGGATAAAAGTAATATTAGTGATCTAAACTCAGTTAAAGGACTTACTTGGTGATTTTCATAATTTTATGAGGATATAACTGTACCTATTGACGAATTAAGTTTATAGAACGACCATTCGGATAAATTAACTCTGTAAAAAAATTAATTCATCTATTTTAAATTCTATCTATCTAGTCTATTCTATCTAGTAATCATTGTACGCTTTTTATTTATCTTGACGTCCCACCTGAATTATAATAGTTATTACTGCCTATGGACATTTGAATCTAGACGTCCATTGATATCATCATCGTCGCTATTATTATGTAAGCTTATTTCATTTGAATAGTTAACCATAACAAGCATTCTCCTATATTATCTCCAATAATATATATTGGTGATTAGTTTGCTTAGTGCTTAATAATTATTACATATGAAATTTTAGCAGTAAATTTATATCAATCTTATTGCAATTAGTACAAAAAAAAAAAAACATTAGTTACAGAATAAATCCGATATAAGTTTAGGATTAACATTTCATACTTGGTGTTTCCAAATACAATATTTAATATCAAATTACAGTGATAGGTGTTTATGCTGAAAGAAGGAAAGATAACTATTAAAAATTTCCATAAATTTGTATTATTTTAAAATTTATAGAACTGATAAATCACTCATTAGCTTAAAATCCATAAAGTGCCAAGCGGTATTAATACAGGATGGATGAAAGCAATTGAGTAGTTCTCATGAATTCCAATATAACTCAGTCATGCGTCCTTTCAACGTTGTCATAGCCTGTGCTTCACACGATTTGTTTATTTATATTGTGGTCGCCTTTCATCTAGTATACGTGAGTAAATAATGAATGTACGACATATCACGAGTCGGTGTGCTGACGTCACTCTGCACACGCTTACATCAAAGGGATCACATCGATGATTTATTGTATTTTGTTTGTCCACATCCCAATTACGATCGTGAAAATTTGTGCATTCTAATAATGCGTTTACCGGTAAAGTACTTTGATGTCTAATTAGGCACAAGATGCGCTAGGTAACCAAATACTGAGCGCTGATAGATTTATTGCCGAGCAAAACTTGAATTTATCTTACAAAGCGTGTTGTGGTAATTACACGCGCTCTTTGCAGTACGGGATTGCATATCGATTGACCCGATCGCAAGATTTGCAATCCTTAATTGACAGAAAACATAGATAAGCTGTTAGGTCAGATTGTGTAGAATTATTCATTATTACAATAAAACAAATACCTCTTTTAAAGACTTTGTTTAATGCAGTAATCTTTGTCTTTTTTTAATACTTTTTAACAACTGAGACTGTGACTTCGGCCACGTGAATAAAAAGTTTGTTTGTCTGCTTGTTTTCGCTGTTAAAGTTCATAATGATTATTATTAAAAAATCAATTATGTTTCACTTATGATAAATTCATTATATCCTTAAACTCCACTCTTATTTGATTGAGCTGCTTAGGTGCCAAATAGTAACAAGCAAACGAACCTTTTCTTATAAATGACTAGTATTGTGTATATTTCTGGGAGAATAAGAATATTTCTTATTCAGGTAAACTTAATTATAAGCATTTTTGAATAGTTATTTATATATTATCCTATCTCCAATAAGGAAAGAAATTTTAGCTGAGAAGAAATGGTAAGAAATTTAATTATAGTATTTTTTTAAACAAAACATTAATTTATACTTATAATTTTGTGTTAATACGGACTAACAAATAATATGTGTGTTATTTAATTTATTTAATATTTACAATATTCTATATTTCTACAATATTATAATATTTTAATATATTATATTGAGTTGTCTAATATTGGACTGTTCGATAATAACTACCTCAATATTTGCATGCTTTAAGCTCATTTCTGTTTTTTTTTTTTTTTAAATTAATCTTTTTTGGAATAGTTAAGAAGTATTTCGTAGATTGTTACATTTGTTAAACATAAATTAAACAATTTGCGTCCATTTTCTTAGAAGATTCCAATTCAAAGTGGCAGATGGTGACTCTACCTTTATCTCACTGATAAATTAGCTTTACTAAAATGAAGGGTGTTTTATTATCAGTGCGAAGTTCGCCGGAAATTTTAAACACAAAAACAAAGGGAGACTTTTTACTGTCATCTATATTGGTGCCTTTGGTCCATTAGTATTTCTGTTGCCAAGATGACCAGATATGTAAGTAGATAGAAAGAACCGACTGACGGTTATACTTCACCTTATAGAAATACCTTGCAAACCTACAGGTTTAACAAATTGAATATTATCATTAAAGAAGGTATTCCTGTTTTCCTTACCTTTCCAGGTAAAGTACAGATTACACTGTTTACTTACTTTAACCTTCTAAACAAGAGTATAGCAATATACGAATATATTGCACAACACAAAGAAATGAATTACACAACTAGTGGTAATTTAATCATTATTATAAAATATCAAATTTTAAATACAGTACAAAGTTCGACCATTTTCTACTATAAATTTTATTCCTTTCGCTTAAACAATGATGAGTTTATTTAATTCATTCGAACTATGTCACTTTACTTCAAAATTTGATTGAATTTGAATTGTAAAAAGCAGTGCAAATCTTGACCAAGTATCTTTCGAGTAAGACGAGGGTCCTTACAGAGAACAACTACGACACTAGACGTAATAAATTGTCTTCAGCAACAATACCATCGTCTTCTGCTGCCATCGCTATTCTCTCGCTTGCTCGGATGTCTTCAATGACACAGCAAACTGTAACACTGCGACGTAAACACCATATATAGCTTGAAGAAGACTTTCGGAAGAAGTCGAAACACTTGTCTTAAATTCTTGTTCAGTTATATGATTATATTTCTAATCCGGAATTTTTTATTAGGTGTACTAGCTATATCACATAATAGTATAATATACTTGCATACTAAGATCGATGACTGTGTGGTACTGGCACAGAATGGGCAACTCCTTACTGTTCCGTAAGTGTCGTGGCAATTCTGATAGTAATTCTCCGTGTGGTGCCGGTAGAGAAGGCCGTCCCTTGCTTTCCTTTGGGTATTGTAAGAGGCAACTAAGGGAACTTAACGGTACAGGGATGGGCAGCAGCATCCCTATTGGACATCTTTAAAAACCTAACTGCGGTTGTTACCTGCCTGCCAACCGTAGCAACTATTGGAAAATCCCCCGTTACGGGAGAAGCCTATGTCCACCAATGGACAGTCAACGGCTAATACAATACTAAGATCCATATCGTACCATCACAATGGTAGTTGCGTCGAATACGGTCAGTTTATAACAAAATCACTACGCGAATTAGTCTTCACTTACTTGATAGCCCTAAAAATAGTAGAATTTTTTTATTATGCCTTCAAAGTCAGTCAGAACCAGTCAGAATTAATGTTTGCGGTTTGACAAGTAAGATGGATGATTGAGTCAAGATTTAGTGAAGGTAAAACTTATTGACTTTATATAATGAGTAAAATTCCGAAGGATAATAATGATGATTTTATATACTTATAATCCTACTATAAGTATAAAAGTTTGTGAGGATGGATGGATGTTTGTTAATTTCATATAAAAACTACTGAATGGATTTAAATAGTTTAGGACAGAGGTAATATCCTACATTAAAATATAGGTTACTTTATATAAAAATTCACATACGCCAAGCCGCAAGATATGGCTAGTAATACATGAATACTTTTGCTGCAGAAGAGCTAATTGTTGCGTATGGGTTCCAGACTTACTCTTGGCTGTTAATCTTTCTATTAATTCCGACCTAAATTTTTGAATGCAGTTTTCAATGGAAAACGAGCTGTCAACCCACCGGATGAAATGTGAATCCACTTTTCGTTAGGTAGCTTGACGGGTTGTTGGTTACCAGTCGCTTATAAATATTTCTGGCAAGTATTTGTTAGTCACATTAATTTGTATATGATGATGCTTTTTCTTAATAAATTTCACATTTATCAAACATAATTACATTTTATATATGTATGTTTCTACAAATATTTTCTTTGAAATTTTTCATAACGAAGTTTACCAAAGTATGGCAATACCAGAATTGATTAATCATATTTTTAAAAACAATAAAATATAATAAATAACATAGTGAACGAAACAGTTAATCGTAATCATAGTTACACATAAATTGCCACAAAATATTTTGAATATTTAAAAATTTGTATTTGCTTCAATATTTTGATTAATTTTTTGCCATCCAAAATTACTAATGGTAAATTAATAAGAAATTCTATGATTACCGTATTAATTTGCTATCAAAGTACTTTTAAATTAGGCAATCGTTTTCGGAAAATTGACATATAATTCCAAAATTGCCGCACTTAATTAACTTCGATATAAATAGTTTTAAGTAATATGTAATATTTAGTTATAACATTCAGTAAATGGTAAGGGTAAAGAAATAAAAACACAAAGTTATTACTTCTTTATTTATGGCTTTCATTTCTTTAATGACAGTTACCGATTATCGATTAATATAATGTTTAAGTTGGTTATAATAATACGTGTATAAAATCGTGTTATATGTGTTTAATTCGTAAAAAATAAGGGCAATTGAAATAAAAATACAAAATTATTACTTCTGTATTAAATTTTATTGCATCTATTCACACACCTTCATGGGGTCCAATTAAAAACGTTTAGCTATCAAAAGAAAATATTATTTAAATAAATAAAGTAAATTGTGGAATAAAAAATAATAACTTTATAGTCCATAAGATGAAGCAATGTTCCTAGATTTTAGAATTAAATATGCATTTAAGAGTTAATTTCAAGTAACAGTTTTAAATACAAAAACTATTTGTTTTGAAATGTTTTTAACGCAATAAAACTCCATTCATAGATCATCCGTCTTCGAGAAATTTTTTTCGTTGTTTATATAGCTACTTAGAAGATATCTCGTCTTCCGTCAGAATTTATTTACATCAAAGGACTGCTAATACAGAAAATTTATTGCATTTACCTCTCTTAAATATTCACGTTATTATTACAATATATATACTTACAACAGTGACGTATGTACAAAACTATAGACTCAATTTTGGACTTTCAGTCTCTACATACAATATTGAAAAGAAAAAAATATTTTACAGTTATATAGAAACAAATTGAAAATATAAATTTACATTTATTTAACTTTTACAATAATACAAGGCCATTTGAGACTTAAGTTATTTCAAGTTACTCGGAGAGATGAGTCTTAGGCAAACATTTCGAACTGAATGTATTTTATCAGATAGGGCTGGCACTGATTCACTTCATTTAGCCACCAGGGCCAGAAGCATGTTTACATTACATTTTTAATTATATATTCACATACTTTGAGTATTATTTGTTTTTAAATATAGATGATTCCATTTATCTTTATAATAGTTATATATTGTGATTATTATCTAAAATAAAACAATAATTGTTGAATAAAACTATCATGATCATACTGTATTGTAGGTAATTATTTATATCAACTCTACTTATGCTTTAAATTCGGGGATATCCGACCAGCGGATGTACTCTTGAATCTAATATCAAAATCAATCTAATCTATTGCCAATGACAATTTTATACTGCATTCATGAAACAGAGTTAGAAATAAGAATTGGGATCGGTTTGCAAAAATTTGTACTGGCAAGTTACACTAATATGCATCTATCAGGATAATATGTAACCATTATGCCGCTAGTACTGCAATTCGAGAGTACGAAATGTGTCAATTTTAATATCGATTTATTGGCATTTATTTCAAGAGTAACCCACCAGTTTATTGATATACGATCGTATGCGTACAGCGACGAACAGCGCCATGGTCGCGCAGTACTACTAGCGACACAGCCGTAGACCGCGCTCATTAAGATTCTATCAGGTTCGAAATTAGTCGAGCATCCCTGAATTTAAACAATAATTATAACTTGTTATAAATTAACTCAAATTCTTCATTAAAATATTAAATATTTTCAAAATATTTATAAAGCGAAAATGTTTCAACATAAAATGTTAAACTGGTCATTATTCAAGACGTTTTCATCTCAGTTCTAAATTCTTTACATTTCGTTGGTCCCACATTGCTGACAATGTTTGGAATGAATGTTTGGCAAAAATGTCCAGGACTTTCAATATACGATAATAAATATATAAGTATTAAATACAACAGAATAAAGTTGAACACACAATGTTAATGACAAAGAAGAATGAAGTTCCAGGATATAATGGAATCTCAAATGAACTACTAAAAATGACTACAATAACAGTATCTGATCCACTCACCATTTTTTTTAACAAAATTTTTGATAATAAAATGATAATCAGTGGTTATTATCTACTAGAGTCTTAATACACAAAAAAGAGACCGTAATGAAATAAACAATCATAGACCAATAAGTCTTATGTCTGGAATCAACATTTTTATTTAATTATATTGCGATGTGTAATGAAAACCCACTAACAAAACTTACCAAGAGAACATGCTGGATTCCGTAACGATTATTTGACCATAGATCACATGTTCGTAGTTTTCAAATTGTGAAAAAATTTAATAAATACGGAAACTCCTTATTTCTATGTGACAAATGCGGAATTCATTTGAGAAGGCCTATGTTGCAGATAAACAGAGGAGACTGAAGAACCGATGTCTAAAGAAAATAATACATAATTGTGTATGTGTGTTTATATATATATATATATATATATATATATATATATATATATATATATATATATAATTATGTTATATACCACACTAATATTATGTATCAAATCTTGTAAACTCAGAATAAAGATTTTATTATTATTAAATACAAATAATATTTTATTTCAAATATCAACCATAAAAAATAAAATATTGATTAGTATAAGCTCCTTATAACTAAATAGGCTGTAATCCATACTTTACTTGAGATCTAAGGTTCACATTGATGTAACCTTTGTGCCAGCCCTATTATTCCAACCACTAATTAACTATATAATGTACACGAGTCCAATAACAAATGAAACGTAATTATTGTAATTTTATTAATATTTAACATAGACAATCATAGTCTTGTGACTAGAAATTATTTATACAGATTTTTCAAAATCCTCAACAATTGTGTATTGAATAATTTGTAGATTATAAACTTATAATAAAAGCTTGTTAGAACTACTGACCTCGTATCAATAAATATTAAAATTCGAATGTTAGATGTTTTAAGAAACTATCAAACAATAGAAAAAACACTGGACGTAATTAGGCACTAAATATAAGGAGAATATTTTCAAAATAATAATTTACAATCTACATACAAATAATAGTCTAGAACAGTGTTTGTTTATCTAGTAGAAACGTAACACATATTAATACCTATTTTCAGTTAAATCACCTCGATTAACCACGTCCAATAATAACTACAGCAACATGTCGCAAGGTCCAACTTGTATAGCACCTAGTATTGTCGGTCAGTCGGCGCACAGGCACCGCGAGCATCGCGGCGGCGTAGCGCCGACGTCGTTTGCGAGTTGTCAACCTCACGGCGCGGCGGGCGCTGTGTCCACTATCACAAATCTAAGCTTCTCTACCGGTGCATATTAATTATTATCACGTATATATCGTATGTATACATATTTATATTTTAGTCTTTAAACGGTATTTACAGGTGAAAGGCCCTCGTGGCTCCCGTGGGGCGAGATCGCGGTTATTGTCGATGTGCCAGCGGCGGGCGGGGGGCTGGTGGTCAGGCGCGGGGAGGAGGGGGCTGCTCGGCCAGTGAGGATGTTGAGGAAGAGGACGGTGAGGGCGCGGGGGGAGCGGGTGCCGGTGCAGCCAATGCTAGCGAGCGGGAGTACTCCAAAAGCGCAACATCCGCTGGATGGGTTGGAGGGTACAGGCCTCGGTACAGTTCCGGCCGACCATAAGGATGGGCGAGGCGAGCGGCCGCTGCAGCAGCTGCTGACTGGTAAAATGCAGATGCGGAAGAAGGTGGCGCCGGCGCGTCACCTTCTTTACTCGCCATATCTGCTAATGACCATATTCTTGGTTTTGCTGACGCTGGAGTACTGCCCGGTGGAGCTCTTGAAGGTAAATGCTGGTAAGCTGGATGAATTGGCCGCTCATAAGGCTCAGGTGACTCTGGTCCACTGTCAGCTCGGGATTCAGACCATTCTGATTCCGTTCTTTGACCTAATAGATCTAACCTTTGTTGCGGCCTATCACCGTCTTCACTAGAGCCCGTTCCGGAGTCCTTTCCATCTAAAATAAAATAAAAATCGTATTCATAAATAGTATCTTATTTTAAATTGTTTTTATTAAATAATCTTTAAAAAATAATAACTTGATATTTTGGAATCCTAACTTACAATTAAATTAGGTTTCCAAGCATTTTTATAAAAAAAATCTAACATTTTTTTGTAGCCTCAATGTTCCATATAACCAGAGAACGAATGTTAAATATATGAAATCAGACATATATGAGTCACCTGAATATAGTGTTCACAGCAAGCCAATGAAGACATTCAATATTTAGTTAAAGGAACGATAGTTACCTAATGCATCTTTTCCATCATTGCTCTTGTGATCATCATCATCATTATTATTGTCATCGTCATCTACCCTGTTTCTTGGTTCCCATGTCATTTTGTTCTCCTTCTTGAGTCGTCGACGTGCGTTGGCAAACCATGTCGATACTTGTGTTAACGTCATCTTAGTGATGATCGCTAGCATTATCTTCTCCCCTTTCGTTGGATAAGGATTCTTCTTATGTTCATTGAGCCATGCTTTAAGAGTGCTAGTTGTTTCCCGGGTAGCATTTTTTCTTCTCGCTCCATTGAGGTCCATTCCATATCTGGTGGAAATGAATAAATGTTACTTTATTACACTAGGTACTTGTACTTAGACAATATGAATTAGTTTAGGCTGTGGTAAGACATAAAGGATTTTTGATAGAACAAGTTGTAATTGATACCGAAAGCATAGGTCACGCGTTCCAAATACAAGAAACTCAAATAACACAAAAAGTAATAATTTCGCAACTCTAACTTCTAATGAGGAACACAGTTAAGCAACTACCTCTGATTTTCAACCGACTTAAAAAACAAGAAGGTTCTCAATTCGCTTGTACTGTTTATGTTTGTTATAACATAAAAAAATAACATAATTTCGTCAGTCAAATTGGAAAATACTTTTTTTTATCTGAAAAGATATATTTACAGATTAGTCCTACAGACATTTCACAAAATTAGATTAATAATTTAATTTTGAAAACAAAATAAATGGTTTTGATACAAGAGTAACAGTTTGGTATTCTGACAATAAACTGCTTTTCCTGAAAACTGGATGTTATACTCTATAACACCCAGTCTTCAGGAAAAGCAACTCATTCATTCGCGTCGACATGGGTGCTACAGTAATTTATAATGCTTAGCATGCAACTACTTTTACATCTCAGCTTGTTTATAATAACTAAGTATTTACTATTACTATCAAAGTAGTACAAGTATATCCAAAATTTGTATGGCAAGGAATGAGGATTCCATACTTCGGTTTGTTAGTGATATTTATTGATTATGAGGCATAATCCTTTAAGAACCTTTCCATATCCAAAATACTATATTAAATAATCTTAATTCTAAACTTAATAGATATTCAATTTCGCAATGACAACTCGAGAGTACATCTCTTTAGCGGAACGTTCACGTTTAAAAGAACGATCAAGCGTAAATGGTAAAGTCTGATTTGGGCAAGATTTCAGATAACGGGGATAGACCGCCCCAATCCTGGGCGCGTCCGCTCCCGTGATCGCCTCACTGAGCCAATGAAAGCGCCAGCATAATAATTGAAATCGAGATAAAGCATCCACTGCTGTGCCAGCGCTAAGCTCCGGCTTATCTCAGACAGCGACGTACGCATTTGTTGGCGGACCGCGCGCCGTTATTTGAATTGTCCTATCTTTATTAGGATGCAGCCCCTGTATCACATTTCTATTAAGCTTAGTGCTCGGTTTGTTTTAGTTAATACCTTATTCCATTTTATATTTTAATCAATATTGACCGTTAGTGTTACTATGATAATGTAATTTCAGAAAATGCTAATAGTACCAAAAATGATGAATACAAATAAACTATTTCACAGTTATTCATAAATATTCGTGAAAGTTTTGTCTGTTATGACCGTTCCAGAATGTCCATGCTTATTACTGTTAATATGTAATCGAAAAATATATACATAACTATAAAGGCGACTTCCAAACGCCATCTATGACTTGTTGCTATATTACCTTAGACTATAAGATAATATAGCAAGTTCAATCGGGGATTGTATAAAGATTGGGAACAAACTTTATAAATTGACTTGGCTCCAGGTGTTCTGTTACCAGATGTTAGTTATTGTATTTCTTATAATTATTTTTATATCTTTTTACTACATATCTATATGTAATTCATTAACATGTAAGGTTTTTAATTATAGAATATATTAGCAACGCAATAAATTTTCATTTGCGAGTAACGATCTTTAAATAGAAATGTGTTGTTTAAAATTTTATAACTTGTTGGTTATAAAACGCGGTTCGGATGCCGTCTCCATATGCCGCCAATGCAGCTCTGTCGGAAACTGAGGGTGGAAAATGGGGATGAGTAGTATGGGAAATTAATAAAACTGTCACTTAAATCGCAGAAGTGACGGGCAGCAGCCCTTATCGCTAAACCCTGCAATCAATTTTGCGTCTTAAAGAGTAACGAGTATGGTTACAATTCTCGTAATGGCCCGACGAAATAAACTCTCTATTGTCGAGCTCGTTGTTGACTTAATACTTCTCGCCCCCGATCGAATGCGACCTCGTAAATAAATATGAAGTGAAATTAATTTTATTTTGTTTCTGTTCATTTAACTCGAGTAAGCATGTCGGCGTGCGGTTCACCCGGCGAACCGAATGAACGGGCGTACTATATGATAATTTGTGGATAAAACGTCGCTTAAAGGCGACATAAATTTAATGACGCTCGCGTCGCAGTCGACCCTATGAATGAACTAACATCCATAGAATTCAAGCGACAATACGAAAGTGGAGCGACGCCAGGCTTAGGCGTATTCCACAAACAAAAAACCTTCATTTATCCACGGCATGCCACTTTCACAGTATCCGAGCTCGCGGGGATAGCTGTGCGCGGCTTCATTTTTTTTATTATTTCGCTTCCCCCGCAGTCTGCCCGCGCCCCAGGCGGGCGGTTGCGGCTACACTCCCCCACCCATCCTCCACCACCTCGCCTTCAATTAAATCCCTATCTCTCGCACCACCTCACGCTTCCTACTTAAACTCATAAAAATGAGATAAACACAAAAATATTGCTCGCACTCAATGTCGTTGTTATTAAAACCGACCGCCACTGTAGTTAATTCGCCCTAACATTTTCGCATTTGAATCTGTTTGTGATTGCGTTTAATGAATAATTAGTTATCGACTCGCCTAATATCGAAGGGGTGGTCTCTCTTTGTCTCCGTTACGTAAACATTTTTCAGAACGAGCAATAAACGCGGTACGAGGCGGGCTCGAATTGAGAGTCACAACATAATAATGAAATAAAGGTAAAAGGATGAAGCACAATGGTCAAGAGCGTTCCATTTAAAATACTTTTTACACGATGACGAAATAATGTAATGTTATGATATCACTGTGTTTAAATATTAAATATTGTTTATATATCTTTATATCATATTATTAGCAGTTCGTTACATTCTTTAAATTGAATCTTCTTATAACTATGTATCCTTATCGTTGTTGATATGCATTAAATAACGAATAAGATATAAGAATTTATAAATAAATTCAGCGTCGTCACGTTATTTTGTTTACAACGAAGATATTTTTCGCGTTAAAAACTGGTGAATATTTACTAATACCTGCAATATTGAACTCACTGATGCGAGAAGGGCGACAGTTTGTACAATTGCCATACAGCTAACTCGTCATACAATAGTATTTGTATAGATCAATATGGTTTGGGCTTTGTAGGTAGCTTTGTTAATAAGTAATAGAATTACGGGTTATTGTATGCTTTGACATTTGGAATGCGAATGGCAGACATTTGCATTATTGATTAACTGGAAAATCAATAAGGGTAGGATGTGATTTGTTCATCGAGAGTTATAAAGACAAGGATTTATATTTTTAATTTATTATTAAAGTGATTAGATATCACTTTACCTATTATATGATTATTATTAATTCCAAATTGGATATTATGTATATTTAAGTGTATAATTCGGAACGTTAAAACAGAAATATTGGCTATAATAATTGAAAGTAATTATAATTTACATTTAAATCTGATATAATTTTCACAATTCCATCGTAGGAATTCACACATTGCAAGGTTAATGAGTATAATAGAGAAATCAATTTAATTCAGTCATTCCAAGCGGGCGTTGGTTTGTTGTGTACTTTTTTGAAACTGAATCATCACTTAGCCGAAACATGATTTAAACACGAATGACTGTCAAAGTTAAAAGAGACAATTTTGTAGTCTGTTAGTTAACTTCGGTTTTAGTGGTTGGAAGGGAGTGAAATGAAAGACATTACAGCTTAATTGTCAGGATTTGTAATATGTGATTTCCATTGTACTGTTTATGTTACAATTTTCGATTATTATTGGTTCGCCAGCTTGTTTGCACGCAGGCTGTTAAAACAGGATTGCAAAAATTTTTACATGTATACTGCTTTATCAGAAATTATAAGGAGATTTACTTCATAAATCTGCAGTGATTTCTTTTTTATAGAGTTTTATTAATAACTGAATACACATTAAACAAAATAACATTATAAAATCCCAAATGAAAATAGTGATCGATATTTTTTAAAATATTTCAGTCATTCTAGCGTGATTAACATGATTTAGGTATTTAAAAATCTTTCTTCTTACCGAAAATATATTTAAACTTGCAATATGCATATGTTCAGTACATATTAAGATGTCTTAGTTCAAAAGCGTGGTCAAAATCAAGCAAACAAAAATATGTCTTATTAAGAATAAAAGGTATTTAAAGTAACAAATTTTATCACATTTCTTTTTAATTATCTACAAATAAACATTACCTAAACCGAGTAAACAATATTTAATAACTCATACAGAGTTTTAATAAACTTAATTTAAAAAGATTTTATTTGTAATATTAGTAGGTTTGATGTACAATATTATTTTAATTTTATAATATTTTATATACTTTATCACTTTAAAATAAACATACGAATATATGACAGGATCGTCATATCATCACATCAACTGTTCTCTGCTGAACACAGGTCTTCCCCGTAAAGGAGGTGCTGCCAGTATATGAGAGAGTTGGCAACCGCAATTACATGTATTATATTATTTTGTATTTTGTTTCTTTTGGAATAGTGCTCGCGATAAATATCTGTACGTATAAAATTTATCTGTAAATTGTTATCTCTGAAGATATTTATTCCCTTATTTCTGTATTACCCTCAAAAATTAGTAGAAGATATTGGTGAAAATAAAATACAATTAGTTAGGTAGCCTAATTATGGGTTAATTAAATTAACGTTTGTTTTGTTCATTTCAGATTCTGATATTACTTCTATTCTTCATCAGGATACCCTAGTTATTACTTAGATTTAGATACCGTCTCTGAATATCGATTTCAATAAGTTAATGATTTCTTACTAGCTTTAAATAAAGACGGTGACGTGATCGAGGGAAAACATCGAATGGAGCTTTAAATAATAAAAAATGTGTCTCATAACATTTTTATAGTAAAAAATAGAACGTTTTAGGTATCGTAGATAAAACATCTGACAATCGGCTACATTAATCAAAAATGTTAAGGTCA